TGTACCATGATGCTGCCAGTCATCCCACTGGTGAGAATCTTTGTTTTCTTGACCTTACAGTATGTATTTTTCAATATTTAACATTTTATTCTTTGAAATAATTCATATTTAAAAACTACTGCTAGTACTCACTGAAATTACAACTTAATTTTAACAATTATTCTTATATCATTATGTGTACACCATTTTCTAGAGACAGTTCTGAGGCTGTGACATACTTGCAATCTGTACAGTTATATGCCGATGTATGTGTCTAAATTAATGTGTATATGTTTGTGTGCATTTATGTATGTACATTTTGTGTATTCATATGTAATTGTACAGGGTGTTTTTTAGTTCCTCTGAACAACTACTCTCATCTCAATGAAAATTTTGCAGATAAAATTTGTTTCTAATTAACTCTGTAGGGTAAAACTACATTTGTTCAGGAGTTTTAATAAGTTTAAAAATGTCTATTTGAGGAAAGCAATGACCTTACTCCTGAATACTCTTGTGATTTCTTTGCATACAAAGTAATGTGATATTAATTATAAATCCTACCCCACTGATCTCCCTTTAATGGATGTCAATATTGATATCTGTTCCTCTTTCAGGAAATTCCTGTCTGAGGACATTCTTTCAAATTTGAAGGTAGGAAATCATGAGTTTTGAGGAGTTTTATCTCCCTAAATAAGCACATTTTCTAGTAATATGAGCTGTGCAGAATGTTTTCTGAGGATGTTTTGTGGCCAAGAAACAGAAAGCCAAATTTTAAAATGACTTGTAATTGATGAATTTTGTATTTCTCATTTTCCTTGTATTTATATAGTTATATTTTATTCATAATATTTAACTTTTATATGGCTACATAAAACTATTTTTAAATAGCAGTGGTATACATATTTTTATAGATCTTTGCACACACACATACTTAAATTGGCTTTAATAGCTCCACTGTGGTTTATTACCATTTCCAAATTTAAAGCATGAACACAGATGAGAAGGAAATGAGGGAATTAAAAATTTGTAAATAAATAAATAAAGTTTGAGTTGTGGTGTTAGAGAAGAGCACTGAACATTCCATGGACAGCCAAAAGAACAAAGAGATAGGTCTTCAAGAGGGTGTAGCTGGTGTGCCCTTTGGAGGCAAGAATGATGAGGCTTCACCCCACATAGTTTGGGCATGTTGCTAGGAAGGGTTATTTCTTGGAGAGGGACAGGATGCTGGGAAAAGTGGAGGGTCAGAAAAGGAGAGGAAGACCCTTGACCAGATGGATTGACACCTGACTGCTGTAATGAGCTCCTATGTGTCAGAACCTGAGGATGGTACAAGATAAAACAGAGTTCAGATCTTTTGTTCATATGGTCACTATCGACTTGATGGCACCTAACCACAAAAATATATAATAAGGGTTTGAATGTTTTTGTTGTTCTTTTTTGTTAAATATTAGTGACTAGAAACCAACTCACAGATATCCCCCCAGTGTGTTTCAGAGGTAATAAAATACATGTGAGGAAATTTTCCGTATTTTTCCCATGGAGCACCTGTCACAGTCAAACTACTCTTCATTGGGTTGAATGTGAAACTTCTTACCCATTAGGTCACCAGAAGTCTATAAAGGTTTGGATATACATTGTAATTAATTATACTTATCAGTTTTAATTAATGTTATAAAACTCATCTGTGAATTATTGAATGAAAACCTGATATCTCTTATAAACTTTCATTCAGAAATATTTTTTAAAGAACATCAAGGCAAAGTTAATCAAATGTTAATTAATTTCCATTCTGAAAGAAAATATTTGCAACAAATTTTTTAATTTACATACACTACAAGTTATGAAAAACATATGTTGCTTGAGAAACAATGAATATGCAGTAGTGTATTTTTGAAAATTGTTGCTATTGTTAGGTACTGTTGAGTAATACATATAGCAACCCTACGAACAACCGCTCTGAAACTTGTCTTATCCTGAGTCAACCTCACTGTCTCTGGCATAATTGACCCCACTGTCACGGTCACTTTATCAATCTAACTCATATAAGGTCTTCCTCTCCTTTACTGACTGACCCTTCACCCTTCCAAGCCTGATGTCCTTCTCCAAAGACTGGCTCTTCCTGTATTTAAATTGAATTAAATGTATATGTTTTTGTTTAAAACACATATGTTAATGTTAATTCATGTTTTAAATGAATTAGTGGATTCCATAATGCTATAGCATTTACAAAGGGAAACCACAGAACACCATACAAGAACTCATATAAACAATTACATAAGCCCTTTCTCTTATCTACTGAGAGGTGTAAGCTTCTCTGTGTAGGCTATCATTCAAGGTCATATCATGTACATTTAAATATAAAATCATAGCAACTAAATCCTAGGATTCTGTTTCAATAAAAATAGAGAATCTCTTCTCCTCATGCTTTCTTCTGGAATCTCAACATAAAATTTATGAGCAAAGCAGAAGTTGGCTCCCACCATAAGCAGTGCTAGTTATGGACATATCCTTTGAGCTATATTCCCTCACCATTTGTCTTGGATACAAAACATTATCATACTATTATATCAAATTATAAAACACAAATATAAAACACACACAATTAACTCTTTGAAAAATATTAGGGATTGTAATATCTCCCAATTTTATTAGAGAATCATAATAAATGGCAGTTATGTATAATGACACCTTTAGTCTAGTAACTGTGGTCCCCGGTTCTGCCACAAGTCAGTAAGCTCTGTGTTTTTCATAAAAATCTTTTAAATGTTTTCAAATCTCTTATGTCAAAGATTAATTCTGGGTAGCATCATGGAGTAAGTTGAAGCTGCTTCTGTGCAAGTGTGAATTCTTCCCCTGTAGAACTCTTTATCTTCTGAGCAGACTATAATAACTTGACCAGCTGCGCCATGGATTGCAGGTGCTGATGCCTATTGGGCTGTTTATATGGTTGGGCTTTTGTTCTTAACAAGTAGCCAAGAAAGTAGATTTGTCTTGCTAGTGGTACTGAATTTGTTTTAGAAGACAGCCATTAGACTTGTTAGAATGGTATTCACAGGTTAATTTTGGCTAACTCAAATTGTATAGAGAGACAGGTTGCTTGGTTGGTAGGAATTTCACAAAAACCAAGTAAACAAACAAAAAAATACCACCACCAACAAAAAAACCCCCAAACTTCCCAGGGCTCCATGGCAGCAAAAATATACATGCTACAGAGCTGTAACTGAGGTCCTTCTCTACGACATTATTTTATATCCATTGTATAAAGTTTCACAAAGTGCTGTTGTTGTATTGTTATGTGCCGACAAGTTGTTTGTGACTCATAGCAACCCTATGTACAACAGCCCTAAACCCTGCCCTATCCTGTGCCAATCGCGCTGCCTCTGACACACTCATCCCAATTACCTCAGTCACTGAATCAATCCATCTCATAGAGGGTCTTCCCCTCTTGCACCGTCCCTCCACCCTTCCAAGCATGATGTCCCTCTCCAAGGACCTGTCCTTCCTTGCAACATGTCCAAACTATGTCAGATGAAGCCCCAGAATCCTTGCCTCCAAGGGGTAGCTTGGTTTAACCCTTTCCAGGGTGAATCTGTTTTCTTGGCAGTCCATGGTATATTCAATACTCTTCTCCAGCACCACAGCTAAAAGGCATCAATTCTCCTTCTGTCCTCCCTAGTCATTGTCCAACTCTCTGATGCATAACAAGTGATTACAAAGACCATGGCCTGTATCAGGTGCACCTTAGTCTCCAGAGAGACACCGTTGCTCTTGAGTACTTTGGAGAGTTCATTAACAGCAGACTTTCCCATTGCAATACTTTTTTTTTATTTCCTAACTGCTGGTGCCAAGAGTGTTGACCTTGGAGCTGAGCAAACTGAAGCTGTGAACAATCTCTCTCTTCACCATCCATCCTGATGCTACCGATTGGTCCAGTGGTGAGAATCTTTGTCTTCTTGACATTGAGCCTCAGTAAATTAAAAAAAAATTAGGCAAATAATTTAGATTTTAAATAAAAATAATTCCTTTGCTGATGTACTTGAATCTGAAATGTCATATATTCTTTTTAGCATAGGCTATCAGAAACATTTTTCATGACAGAGAGTCATAATATTGCATCCCAGTATCCTACTATTTCTCTTCCTGTGTATTTCCCCGTGTTTTTCCACTTGGTTTGATTTAAAACTCTCTCCATCTATGTATGTTTTCTCTAAGATATAGGGTAGTATTATTTAGAAACTTTTAAAAAATATAAATAAAATTTCATTCCAATTCATTTAGAAGCAAATTTTTCTTGGATACGTTTGGATCTATTTTATTTTTCAAGATGCAGATCTAAGAGATTCTGGAATTAAATAAGTAATAAAACAGATATGAGCTAAAATAGACAGACGTAAAGAATTTTATGGCAAAAATAGTTGTCATTAGATATAAATATGATGTGATTTTTTTAAATTAATGAAAATAATATGTTTCCAACATCTTTAATTTTTGGTCATAAATAACTTCATTAATAGGATGTAAAAATATTATGAAGTAATTAGTTATGAAGCAGAAAGACATCAAATCATGTATGTAAAGCACGGTTTAAATAATATGTCATGATTTCCACTGAAGTAAGGTGCTCTCACTGGTCATTCAAGGACTCCAGTATAAGTTTCAAATACTTATAAATGGTGATCTTTATGTACCTCTATGTTCCTTACCGGTATGAGCAATAATGTATTATAATGCTGGTTTCTTATATAACTTAATGTCCTTGGCAAAGACTATGACACATGGAAGCCAAATATTTATAACTTTCATAAAAATAAACAAGTAGAAATTTAAACAAATATGGGGTAAATGGTATTCCAAAGCTTACCCGGGCCACTGAGTCAGGAAGAAAAACCACGTCTCTTGGATTGCATTTCCAGTGTTCTAGCCACTGGTTTGTTCACCTCCTGTGCAAAACATCCATACACAATACACAATGCATACTCCCCCTCGTTATCAACTGGTTGTCAAAAGAAAAACGTCATTACCTTTCCCACATACTGAGGTTCGGAGCCCATGTACTCTTCCAGCACAAAAAATTGATTCCATACCCAGCCCCGTTTAACTCGCTGGAAATGAGTCCGCCGTCCCGGCAGGTGGATAACATTTTCTCTTGTTTCTGTTGCTAAAGTCTGTTGTGGCTGTGGCTGAAGTGGTATTAGGAGACCTCCATCAAACAGCACCCAGAGAAGCAGGGATAAACAGTTCCTTGTAAGCATTGGCAAAGGCTTTCCTGCAGCAGAGCAATCAAAACTCCAGCACTCAGTGTAAAACTGTAGAATCCAGGTTGGAGGTGTCAGTGGCCTCCACCACTTAGTGTCTTATTTTATTGCAGAAATGATAATGCAGGCATTAATCCTTTTGATGAAAAGACCTCTGCTGTGTCAGATTCCATCTAAAGGGACCTATAAAACAGATTTACAAAGATACATTAAATTAATAAAATTACCCAGCGATGCTCATTCAAAGTTTCATTATCTCTGCCAACATTTACAGAAATAGAAGGGCCAGTTTTAAGTGAAAGATATTGGTGAAAGACCTCTGCCATTTATTGGCTCTGTTAATTTGAAAAGATAATCTAGGTGGTTTACAGACTTGGGGGGGGGGTTAGTTACAATTAAAAGATCTATCAAGAGCAGAAGTAATCATATTCCATTAGATAAGAATTTTAGGAATAAATCATGTATTACCAAATTTAAAGTGAACTTCAATTTCAGCTTTATTATCATATTGGACTGAATAAATGTATATTACATTTTTCTTCAGTTTATATATGAGAGTGAGTATTTGTTAGGAAGCATACTGTTAAAATAAAAATAGTTTATGTCCTTTAGTGTATTAATCTATTTCATGAGAGAATATAGCATAGTTAATACATTTTATGAGGTGCTGTGGAATTGATTTTTGATCATAATGACTCTAGGTGGCAAAGTATACTATGTCATTAGGTTTTCTAGGCACTTATCTTTATGAAGTGGGCTGTAGTGGCATTATGCGGAACATATCAGGTTGCTAAACAACTGGTCAGCAATTTGAACCTACTAATTGTTCAGTTGGAGTCCATTCCTTTAAATATTTGATTCTATTCTTTAAATATTTGCAGCCTCAGAAGCTTGATGTAGAATGCATATGAGTCAGATCAACTTGATGGCAGTATTTTGTGTTTTGTTTCTTTTGTTTGTTTGTTTGTTTTTAATGAAAGTGTACCACCAATCCAATTTAGCACAGAATTTCTTTCGCCTAGAGAACAGCGAGGTGTATTTAAATGTCAGTGTTTTGGTTAGTAGCCTAGAGTATAACCATTACACCATTTAATAAGTAAACAAACAACGTGCACTCTCATGGAGTATATACTATCCCATTGGAGGTCCTTGTTAGACACTGTTAAGTAGACTCCTAGACTCCTAGCTAACAGAATGAAACCATTTACTTCTGAAAGGAGAAATTGGGGGGGGGAATCTCTAACAAGGTCAAGCTTGTATTAAACTAAAGGAAGACTCATCTTTTTTTTTTCCTTTATAGCTAGTATATCCCTTCACATATACAGTATTTTAATCAATGTTTATAATTGTCAAGTTCTGGTGGTGATAAAAGAAAGATAATAACCTTTAGCAGAATAAGAGAATGAAATCCCCCACCACAGATCCTGAGCCATTCTCACATTGATATTGTATTTTACTCTACTGTTATAGCACCATATCAGTCCATCTTGTACAGGGTCTTCTTTTTCACTGATTAAAAGAATGTGATATATTTTTATGTAATCTCCCAACCTTCTTTTTATGTTCTTTCCCCCCCCATAGTGTTGCCTAAAGCATATGTAATTATCCTTAAATGTATATACTTTTATATTTGTAAAATTTATAAGTGCCAAGGAAACAAAATAAAAACAAAAGGATTTATTTTAGGATATCTTCACAGCAAGTTCAAGAAAATCATTTTCATTATCATCACTATCAAGCTTGTGTGCTACAAGGCAAGATCATCTATAGATCTTTTACACATCATTTATCCATAGTTTTGGATATCAAAATAACTATACAAGATTAAATATAAAAGTTCACAAGGCAGAAAAATATAGAAAGAAATTAATGCATGAGATTTTATTCCGCCTACAATTTCCACAAGTGAAACTGAAAGAAAAATCCCTAACAAACTCTACTCTGTATTTAGATAAGATGAAGTTAGTGGGGTTTTTTTTTTTCATTATAGCTTGTTTGGAAAATGCTTTCAAACTTGGAAGGGCTGAGAGTCAGTGAAAGAGAGGAAGACTTCTATCAGGATGTACTGACATGGTGAATACAGCAATGGGCTCAAGTGTATCAGAGCTGGTGAGGATGGCACAGGACAGAACAGGATTCAGAGCTGTTATTCTTAAGGGGACTAGGAGTCTTACTCAACTCAACAGCATCTAACACTAACTATATCCCTTTACTAATCTTTTACTCGGTATCTGTAATTCTCAAGTCCTTTGTTACACAATAGGTGAGAAGAGAGAAATGATAACCTACATCTTTTTAATTAAACTGACTGGTGAAGCCGACAAACATACCAGCAAAGAGACAGGTTATGGCAAATTTTGCCAGTCCTGTAAAAATTGCAATCAGATATTAATGGTAAAACATAAGTTAGCAAAGTTTAATTTAGCAAAATCCTGTTAGAGATTGCAAGGAAACAAATAGGAAAAGATTATTCCTGTACCTTCTTAAAGAGTAGGTGGCATGGTGATTTTTTTATTGACTCTAAAGCTAACATTGGGCATTTTGAAGCCACCCAGTGTTTTCACAGAAGACTGTGGATCTGTTTTCATAAAAGATTACAGTCAAGAAAATTCTATAATTCTACTTTGTAGAACATGTGGTCACCATGGGTCAGGGAATGACTTTGTAACAATAACAATGTCTTTTACAGAGAATAGAGAAAATGCAGTGAAGATCAAGGTGGTTTATGCCTTTGGCACTAGAGGCATAGAACTTAGGAGACTTTGATAAATCCAGTATGTTTAACTATATATTGAATATATATGAACTAAATTCAAAGTCAATATAAGAGTATTTAAATTTAGCATTGTGTCCTAACCAAACCAGTTGCAATTTTATCTTAGTTAATAATATAGACAGTAAAACAGTAAAAAAAATCCTAAATATTTTTAATTCCAATAATCAAATTAGAGCAATAATTGAATTTTATTATTCTTAGATAAAGAATGAGAAGGGTTGTTTCCAAAAGTGACAGCCTGAATGTGTGTGTAAGGGCAATCTTTAAGAGGGAAATTAAACTAGTGTTGTTTCTGCATACAGTCAAGTCTGAACCGACCCACAGCTGACCCTTCAGTGGGTTTTCAGGGACAGCTGATTGCAAGGGAGGAGATTACCAATTCCTCTCTCACGAAGTAGCAGGTAGCCTTGAACCACATGCCTTCAGAATTGCAGCACAGCTTCTTGCCATTAGGCCATCAAACTCCCTTAGGTGCTTTTAATTTGACTACAACTCACAACGATCCTTTGAGCAACATATCTGGAACTAGATATTCTATATAGAACAACCTATCCTGCACCATCCTCACAATTTCTGTCTTCCCCAATCCCACTGTCATGGCCACTACATTAATCCATTTCACTAAGGGTCTTCCTTGCTTGCTGCCCTTCTTCCTTCAAGACAGATTTGTTCTTTTCACAGTCCATGAAAGAGTCAATACTCTTTTACCAACACCACTTTAAAGGCATCAATTCTTCTTTGGTCTTCCTTATTCATTGTCCAATTTTCAGATGTATAAGAAGCAACTGAACATATCAAGCTTTGGAACAGGTGAACTTTAGTCTTTAAACTGAAATTCTTGATCATCAGCACTTTTGAAAGGTCTTTATCAGTAGATTTCCCCAGTGCAACACACATTTTATTACTTGACTGCTGCTCCAACAGGTGTTGATTGTGCATCCAAGTAGAATGAAATGTTATAGTTCAGAAATAAGGTAGGATACGATATTTCTTTGTACTGTCTGAAAAAGAGTAACTTTCAGAAACTGGTAAGACTATAAGTAATACATATTTTGTTTTATGATTCTTTTCTAAAAATATGTTCATAAAAAGTTAATTTGGCATCATGAATTATATTTTTATATGCTTTTGGATTCTATTGGCTAGGACTCTGTTAAGGATTTTTGCATCTATATTCATGAGAAATATTGGCCTGTTGTTTTCTTTCTTGGTTATATCTTGGTTTTGGTATTAGAGTCATGTTTGCCTCATAGAATGACTCTGGGAGTATTTCTTCCTTTTCTATTTTTTTAATACTCTAAGAAGAAGTGGTGATGGATCCTTTCTGAATGTTTGGTAGAATTAAGCTGTGAATCCACCTGGTCCTGGATAGTTCTTAAAAGGAAGTATTTTTTATGACTTGTTCAATTTCTTCTTTTGTGATGGGTCTCTTCAAGGGTTCTACACTTGTCTCGGTCAATCCAGGCAGGGCATCAGTTTCAAGGAATTGGTCCATTTCCCCTAGGTTTTCTAATTTATCAAAAACATAGCTTTTCATGTATTCTCATATTATTGATTTCATTTTACCTGGTTCTTGTGATGTTACCTTTATCCTTTCTTAATCAAGTTGTCTGTGTCTTCTCTCTCTCTCTCTTTTTTTTTTTTGTTTTTTTGTTTTTTGTTAAGTTTGATCCATATGATCCCGCTATTCTACTGCTTGGAATATACCCTGAGAAAATTAGAGCTGAGGTACAAATGGAGATTTGTACACCAATGTTTATAGCAGCATTATTCACCATCGTAAGAACATGGAAACACCAGAATCAAATAGATTGAGAAAATATGGCACATTCACACAATGGAATGCTACACAGTATGCAGGAGCAATGATTTTGAAAATCACTACCTAAATCCATAGGGGTTAGAGAGCATTGTGCTAAGTGAACTAACTCAGTCCCCTAAGGACAAATACTGTATGAGACCATTTTTGTAGAAATAGAAAGATATCTAGTAAAATGTGTATGGGGATCCAAGGAGGGGAGGGGAGAAACCTAGAGGTGAGGATGGGTGGGGCATAACCATAAGGGGGGACGGATGGGTAAAGGAAACGGGAAAGATCAGGTGTGAAAAACAATGCACATAAACTTTGTAAGTAAATCCGTGTAATCTTTTCTAAAAAAAATAAATTTATACTGTTTATATGAAATGTAATAATGTGCAGTCAAGATGTGTGTATATATTTTCTTTTTTTTTAATTTAGTTT